TCATTTCTATCATTTCCCCTCCACCTGGTCTTTCCTGCCTCATGCTAGCATCCTATCGACAGCAACACTTGGGTATCAGAGCTTTGATATTCTCACGGTAAATATCATTGAAGATGAGGTAGGTGAAGAAGTTATACACGAGAGTGAGACAGTAAATGAAGTGTGAGGCATCTGTCAAGTTGTAAAGCGATGAGATCAAGAGATGACCCAACTTTTCTTGATTATTCAACATTGCACAAGCGAACCAAAAACCGCGACAAAAATAAACCATAATTGTCACAGCATGTTTTAACACTTTTTTATTCTCCTGCTTTCTTTTCTTCGTTCTGATGTTAACAATCCGGGTACTTTGCGATGATAACGTTTGCGGACTCGAAAGTGTATGTCAATGGAAATGGCAACACAGCTAAAAGCAGAGACAACGAAGGACATATCTATATATCTAAGACATTTAGCTAGCACAGGGCATTACCAATGAACCCACCAATCAGCAATTGGTCGTCAAAGTTAGGAACAATCGATTAAGAAATACCACCAATTATTAAGTMATTGGTTGTACGTCTCAATCGATTGTCCCTAAAGACTATCCACAAGTTTCCCATCATGGCCATAACAAATTGTAGAGAAAAGGCCGCAATCCATGGTATCTTGCCGTAGTAAGGAACAGGAATACCAGGACGAGTAGAGTTGAGAGTAGAATTATTTAAAAACATCGCGTTTATACCGTTCGCCCTGCTGGTTATTTTATAGAATGAATAAATTTAGCATAAAAGTGAACTTTATCGTTGACAAAAATACGTCTGAAAATAATGAAATTAGCAATGCTTGACATTTAAAATAAGCTGCGGAGTTCTACTGATGAACAACATTTTGTATTTAATATAAATATCTAGTTGTCTTTAGCTCAATTTTTCAATAACAGACGTTTCAATCTGGTCTCAGATCTTCTTCAGTGTAAATTATTCCGTTGAAAATTGTTGCTTGGTTGTGAAAAATTAGCGTGCGCGAAGCTTCAATAATTAACATGCACGCGCGTATTAAGTGTTCTATAAACATCTGGAATGGCTATTCTATATATTTGACGAATTCGTGTCACACTCAGAGTGCCAAGCTTCAAGAAATGATCGTTTGTGATAATTAGGCCCCTTTTATCCGCCATACGAGCACCACTGAAATCGATCACGTGGACGTCTTCTTAACGGATAAATTTGCACTGTTATTAAAAAAAATCAGCTAKAGAAAACTAGATATTTGTATACACGACTTTCACAATGGCCGACACTAATTAGCATATTATTGTTAAATTCATAATGTTGACAAACGAAAACACTCAGATAATAGATATCTAACCCAAAGATAAGCTTTGAAAGTTTCAAAGAAAAATATTAAATCCTCTGGAAGTTATAAGGGTTGGAAGATGCACAAAAACACCAAAACGAGGCCAGCATAGCAAGGCCGCAGTAAAGAATTTCATACAAATCCTTGTATTTTCATTCCTCCATAACTTCGTTAGCATTTTGTCTATATCTTCAAAATTTTGCACCATTACTTATTTCTGATAGTTCTTCATTATGACAGTGCTGAATGTTTCCTGATATTGTCAGTCATATAAAATCGATAGTAGGCAATTGTGAAAGTGGTCTTTGAATCCTAGCTRCAACAACCGATCATAAAGATCGTATTTATAATAATCTTCGTTTGTAATTAGAGGTAGTCGATAACCTAAGAACAGCTAGTACCAGCTGAAATTTTCCTCTAATGAAGAAACGATTCTTTTCGTCCCAATCATTCCTAACGCGTATTTTCAATTGTTCTATAGTTTTCCCAAGTCATTGTCATAATATTATATTATAGCTATCATAGTACGCGCTCTCTGATGCACGGATGC